GTGCCGGGACGGGGCCTCAGGAGTTTTGATCTAGGTGTACTTACTCTTGCACTTTGCGTCCTTAATTTTTATGTGTATTAAATAAAAGAGCTCTGGTAGCATAGTGGGTCATATGTTGGGCAACCAATCATAGGGTCTGCAGTTTGAACCTCCCAGCCATTCTGGGGAAGAAAAATGGGGCTTTCTACTCTGTAAAGATTTTAAACCTCAGAAACCCACAGGGACAGTTCTACCCTGTTCTGCAGGGTTGCTGTGAGTCAGAATTAACTTGACAGCAGTGAAGGTTTTTTTTGTACTCTACCATCCCCCAAATAATAGTATAATAAAGATTATACCTCACGTTAACATGCCAATGTTCACTACTAGGTTGCTTACAGCAATTTTATACTTTTCATGATTATGGCAAAATAATATGCAGAAATATTTATGCATTTGGTACTTATAGCCTTCTAGAAGAGACAGACTGTTTCCATATTTGATTTTTGAAGACTTAACATCTGGTTATCATTTAATATTTATTGGCAAACTCCAGAGAGGCCCAGTTCCACTCGTCGTTTGTTTTTGTATGTCTTTGAGCTAAGAATAGTTTTTAATGTTTTAAAAAGTATTGCTTTAAAAAAGAAAGAACCCATGAGAGAAGCCACCTTTAGCCTATAAAACCTAAAGCATAACCCATCGGCCTTTTGTAGAAGGAGTTTGCTGATCCCTGGACCAAAGTGCAAACCTAAATGCTTGCTAGTCTTATGAGAAAGGATCCATGGAATTCTCAGTGCAGGCAACTCAGGTGGTTTTTGTTTGTTTGTTTTAAACAAAAGTCCAGCTTCTGACCATGCAGCGGAATAGTTTCAGATTGTGGAACTTGAGAGAGAAATGTGTCCAGTGTGGCTAAGCTTGGTTTGTTCCCATCTCTTACAGGTTGTAGGTGGCCTAGATATCCACAAAAAGATGGTGGTCGACGTGTGACTCTTTTTTAAAAAGAGTACCACCCAACACTTTTGCTTTCTTCTCCATCTCTGAAGATCTGCTCAAGACGTCCAGCAATGCTCTCTGTGTATTTAAATGGAAGTATTTTTCTCTGTGAAGCCACATTTTCCAACACGAGCCTCATGAAGCCAACTAAGTGTTATTGAACTCTTACTCTCTCAATAACTCTCTCAGTGTAGCACTTTAAAGTCTGAAGGACAGCAGGATGCAAAGAGCATATCACTGTGGTGGAGAAAGGGAAGGGGTTGGCTTTTTAATTTATTTTTCTTCATCTTTTATAACAAGAAAGTATCTATATATACATATGTAAATATTTATATATAGATATATGTAGCTTTCTATATATGTAGTAGGTTGGCTTTAATTTAATATACTTGATCCAGAATCAAAATGATAGAGTACAAAAGTGCCAAGCAGAACATTGAGAAGTTCAAAACCATGGATCTATACATCCTTTTATCTCACACAGTTTTATAGAGAGACAGAAGACTGTACAATCCGAGCCGGGTGTTGGCCAGCTGTTTTCCTTTCCTGTGCTTTTCTCCTTGGAGAGATTGACAAAGCATTTGTTAATGTCCTATTATTTACCTTAATTTTTTTGGAGGGGGGTAACAAAGGCATCTGTGACTTTATACCTACAACTATTTCCAGGGACTGCGTCTCCTTGCTGAGCAGCAGCAGCAGCAGCAGCAGCTTTCTCTCTCTGCTTGAGGAGCACGGCTCGTTCAGTGCTGTTGCCAAAAGCTAGTGCTTGTGTGTTCACCTAGTGACTGCACGATGCTTACGGCTGCTTCCTTGTTACTGCGTGACGAGGAGCCATTACACGTAGTAGGTGTCCCTGGGTAAGTGTCAGCCATCAGTTGTGATGACTGTTTGCTACATGAAAGTCAGAAGCTGTCTGAGGCAATCATGACTTATCTTCTGCATTTCTTAGTGAAGAAATCACATAACCGCTTCGGGTTTCCCTTTGTTTCATTACATGGTTCAGTAACTTGTCCTTTAAACAACGTATAAACCATAAATTTCCCTTCTGTGTTTCACGAGATTTGCAGCAAATTTAAAAACGGGTGATAGTTAATGTGCATGTATGCAGCTGAACACCCACATATTTGTGATTCGAATGTGAGAACTCGTGCTAATCTATATATGCCAGAGAAGAGCAAAATTTTATTCCGATTTATACCTCTTTAATTTCTTTACCACCTAGAGAGTGCATGATGGGTTTCCTATTGCTTTGCCCATATGATTTTTAACGAGTGATAACTGAATAAATTTGTGTGATATAAAAGTAGTGTATCATGTTCCACCACTTGATAGTATCCCTTCCCTTTTCTGCAAAGGTACTATTGGCTGGAAGAAAAATACTGTTGTTAGCTTTCTCCAACAGTAGTGTCTTGCCCTATGTAGCTGTTCAACACAACCTGGTTTTTTAATCATGAGTGGAAAGGGGGTAGGTTTAGTAGTGAGCAACCCTGAAACCGAGTGCCCTGCCTGCCTCGCTGTCCCTTCAACTGAGTGCTGCACACCATGGGCTCTGTCTGTGAGAGGAAACCCCGGTGCTTGGTGTCCTTGCATGACATGGAGTTTTGCATGTAGATCGATTTAAAATGTACCTCTTGTTTACATAATTTGCATAATTTAAAAAGATAACGTTGCCAAACTTTGGAAATGTTAATGTTCAAACTGAAAATCTCCACTACATGTAACTTTCTTCCTCTGGATCAGAACGTGGCTTATAATCCCAGCCAGTGGTTTGGTCTGTTCCAGTGTCAACTGCCATGTGCTCTGCTTCAAGGGGAAACTAGTCTTTTGTGAATTTTTTGTACATAAGTATTTGTTACAAATATTTTAGCAAATGCTTTCTATTTCTCTTGCTTGTGCATATCTTGGCTGGCGTTACAGAAAATAGTGCAAACATTATTTCCTTACTGGGGAATGAGGGTTTTTTTTTTTCTTTTTTAGTTTGTGTGGGGCTGGGGGGAAGGGGTGGTTTATGTTGAATGTTTAGTTTTTCTTCTGCATGATACATCATGTTGTGGGATCTTTAGAAAACTTCATACTGTATGAATACAAAAATAAAATATTTGAAACTTGCTTGAATGTATCCACTGGTCTTTGGTGGGGTTTCACAGCCAGTAAAAGTCTTGGGGTTTTTTGTTGTTTTTTTTTTGCTTTTAAAAATAATCCATGTTTGATCTGTGACTATAGCCATGGCTAAAGGGAATTTGTGGAAGCAAGTCATTACAAACACACGTGAAGCCTGATAAGGACCCTTGTTGCCAATCCCCCAGCCCCAGGCTTTGCACGATGTTTCCATCAGACAGCCGACTTGTTAGTTCTGTGTCGGGGTGCTCCGGATCAGCAGAAGTTCCCCGGTGGACTTGCCGAGAAACACACGTAGTACCCAGGTCCTCTCGACCCTGTGCTGCATTTTGAAAAATGTTTATCAAGTGTCTTTTTCTGACATTAGACCACTTTTGAAGTACACTTGAGAGCTCCCAGTAGTCTAGATTCTGCCTCATGATGCCTTGCACAATGAATATTGAGTAAAAAAGAATTGGACAATGTGATGCTGTTGGTAAAGGATGGGTCGTCATTTTGCAGTAGATGCTATTGAATACTCAGTCAACTTAAAGAGACTGCATTGTTACAAAAGGCAAAAATTAGTATGTTTTAGCCATTCGCCAACAAGTTGTCAAGTTTTCAGTACCCAAGATATTTGTGATGATAAATGGAGCCCTGGGCCCAGGTTGAGGTACGAGCTGTTGGGTTTTATACCTGTGATGTGTGAGCTCTGCTTCCTTAGACGGCCAGGGTCATAGACTGGTCAAGCCCAAGCAGATGGTACATTTTAAGATCGCGCTTTAACAAATGATTGATTGGGAGCTCTTAGAAAGATTGCAACCCATGGTTCCATCAGATGAAGCACAGGTGCACTGCGGCTGCCATCACGTCCACTTTATCTTGACCTGGTGGACATCAGCTCCCCATTGCCCCTCCCTCCCAGCCTACCACCCCGAGTCTCTCATACATTCTATATTATTATTATTGGTTTTTTGGGGGGGCCAGTTTATACAATCCAAAGTATCCTTTCACCTTGCTCTTAGTGGTCTTAGGATGGCCAAGAGGGTTCAAACCTGCTTAGCTTCTAAGCCTGATCCCCAAAGAAAGGTGTTTCAGCTCCTCAGGGATAGCTCTTCAAACTCCAGCATGCTCCAAAATCTCTCGTTAATCAGCAAACTACCCCTACCCCTGCCACGTGATGCTAATTACACCAAATTAGTCAGCCCCTGGGCTCTCAACCCTCGCAAGACTTTCTTGGACCAAGCACCTAACGCTTGCGGCTGCATCTTCCCCTGGCAGACGGTTCTGCGCCGTCACTGTCGTCTTCTGCCATCGAGTCACTTCTGACTCTCAGCGCCCCCATAGGACGGGTACGGCTGAGCAGGAAAGTGGGAGCAGAAATCTTCCGGAGTGCTGGGAGAACACCCCAGGGCCTCTACTACCCTTACCTGCTGAAAATCTAAGAAAGTGTTCCTTGGTTAGACCCATCTTCCAGGCAGTGTCCCATTTCAGTATTGGCCAGCGGTGCTGTAGATAGAGTAAATGCTGGGCTGCTAAACAAGGCCAGCGGTTAAAATCCACCAGCCACTCAATGGGAGAAAGATAGAGGCAGTCTACTCCCACAGGTTGAAGTTTCAGAAACTCCAAGGGCAGCTTTACTCACGAGTTGGAATCCGTAGCAATGGGCGTTTTGGGCCCTAAGCCATGTCAGTTCTCATGTTTAGCAATTAGATCTCTGAACTGTTGCAGGTCAAGAATTTTAGTATTGTATCCAAAGGTCAGTGGCTGTAGGAGTGGCAGAAAATAATGCAGGACACACAGAGCAAGGAAATACGAACAAGCATGAAAGAGTCCCGAGGCAATTGTTTTGAGTGTTCCACCTGGAAGGTGCTAAGTGATATGACCCACATTGAAATCAGCTTTCCGTGCATTCAGAGTGCACACCACTGTTCCTCTAAGCTCTGGTGCCCTTGTGGGTTGAACTTGGAGCTGCGAACTACAGGTCATGCATGAGCCATCTCACGGGAGAAAGATGAGGCCATCTACTGTACAGATTTAATGTCTTAGAAACTCAAAGAGGCAGTACTACTGTGAAGTAGGGTCACTCTGAGTCGGAATTGGTGAGATGGCAGCGGGTTAGGTTTTGGTATTCCTCCTTGAAGAGTCCTGGGGGTGCAGCGGGCAAGCACTAACTTCCAAATGACAGGGCTGGTGGTTCGAACTCACCAGCAGCTCCATGAAAGATGTGGTGGTCTGCTGCTTAAAAATTTGCAGCTTTGGAAACGGGGGTCCCCTGACTGTACCGAGGGTTGCTAAGTTGGGAAAACCAGCAGGCTTTTAGAGGTTTATTCCTCCCTCCACTAGTGGGGTTCCTTCCTATTTCCTCTTTCAAACCCCAAATCATCTTATTACCACCTTGAGGAATCGTGTGGGAGGGGCTCCAAACTAAACCAATGTTCAGCACCCCAAATACAAACAGCTGCCAGGGAATACTGCTTGCTCAAATAGTTCTGGTAAGAAAACTTCAAAAGGATGTTTATTTGAACCATATTAAAGCATCTCAGATTTTAAAAAGTGATGTAAACATTCTGCTTCAGTTTCTTAACAAACCCCAAACATTTATGGTTAGATAGCAATGGTTCATTTCTCAGTTCATTGCAAAAACACTTTTAAGGTTGTAGACACACTCCCAAGAGAGTACACAGTAAATAGTCATGTTTTAAATAAAACATCTTGGCCAGGGAGCCGAGGGGCAGGGAACAGGATTAAGCTGGACAAAGGCTTTTCACAAAGGCCTGTGTAGATGGAATCAACCCCAATCGTGGCTGTAGTCTGCATATTTCTGCCTGTTGTTAAAGATTTTTAAGAAATGCATTGTACAAACTTGGGACGGTGGCACATGTAAATGATATAAAGGCAACAAGTTCAATAATTGGAAATGCTTTTCATTTTTAGGGACCTTTCTAATACAAAACAGTTTTTAAGAGTTTCGATGAAGGATTTAAGAGATGTAAGAACAATGTATCTCAATCATGTTTAAATAGGTAGAGAAGTTATCATTTAAAATGTATGAAACTAGGTAATATTTAAATAGGTAGCCACTAATTAAAAGAACCTGCATTTGCAATTCTCTTGGGTACAAAGATAGCATTTCACCCTTACTACCCAGAATATACCCAATATTGGTCATTCCAATGGCTTTCATGATTTGAAAAATGAAACTCTGCTCACACCAAACTTATGACAGAGGGCTTTAATTTTAAAGACTGCAAAGCAGGAACAGAGTAGCCTGTCCTGGTTTATAGAGAAGAGCCAACACTGCCGATGGCCTGATTATAACATTCACACACCACTTCCTGTGTCAAGGGTCATTTATTACTCATAAGATTTTCTAAGAATTCTAAAATCCATGAAGAATATTTAAAACTTACAAACTAGCAAATTTATACTGAAGAGCAATTTAAGCTAAAGCATTTCCCTCTTTAATGAGAGAATTAAAAACCGCACATCTGCCTTGTGCTTTACAAGGGAAATATACATCCTGCTGATGTAGAATGTCCTAACGTCTGACAGTTACGATGCCCGTGAGGCTGCAGGGGGAACGCGATCACACCGTCTTTGAGATGCTTCTGGCTGAGAATGAGAGGAGCTGACCGAAGAATTCGTCACCTGGTTCCACCTGTCAGTGTATGGTCTTTGTTCTGGAGTCCAAACAAGAGTCTCAAACGGGAAATCAGAATCGATCTGCTGCTCTGCTGGCCACCGCACGGATGTTGCCATAAACCTTTGATGGAGGATTTCCTGTAAGGGGGGGGGGAAGCAGGGCTAATATCATATACAAATATACCCATACATAGAAGCTATGTAACTAGCTACATGAGGAAGGTCTATAGCCCAAATATACGTGGAATATCTTCCCACTGGTCCTATTTTAAATCACCCAAATCACCCCGAAGGAAGTCATTCTTTAAGGCACCACTTTAAACTTCTAAGAGTCAGAGGCACTGAGCTATCAACAAACTTCTTATAAGATTCTAGTTGGTCAGCCTCCCCCTCTTCCCCCCACCGGGGGAGGGGACACTACAGGAGTGGCCGGCTGTGCCGCCTGACCGAGGACGGAGAAAGTGCCCATTGACCGCAGCTGCGCAGTGGCTCCCGTCTTGTCGGGCCTACAAGTTGCCTGCTTTCTGGGACGACTTTCTGTGCACCTCACCAGAGGCAACAGCAACAATGTAAGCAAACAGACCGCAGAGAAACAAAACTGCCGACAACCGTTTCCTCTAGGCTCCCACTTGCCAAAACCCAAAGTTCTCTACTTGCCATCTCTACCGTTACCCTTAAGCCTGAGTTACACATGCAATTTGAGTTTCAAAATTCTGTTATTTTTAGAGAAAAAAAACTAAAACTGCTTCGTTACCCAGAATGAGGTTGCAAATGGCAGTTCTTGCCATCTTGATGTTTTGGAAAGAGCCAAGAATGTGAACTTTCCTGAAAGAGAAAATGCAAAGAACAAAGTCAGAGACCAAAGGCAATTTCTTCCCTGGAAAAGCATGCTGTGGATTCCTACATGAGGCAGGAGCGGCTTTCCCACCCTGGGCACAGGGGTAGTCCTGGAAATCCCTGCAGCAGGTCTCTGGGGCTGTGAACCGCAGGAGTCCCCAGATAACGGTAAGAACCAGGGTGGCAGCTGCATGGCATGACTGCCACCCTGGCGGCACAGGGCCACCCTGGTCCTTCAAGCAATGATGATTCACGAGCCCAGGCCGTAAGCAGGACTCGGGCCTCAGCAGAAATGTGAAGATCCAAAGGGCACGGCGCTCTACTTTTGGATGAAGAGAGTTTGCAGTTTAGGAATGGATTCACATTGAATATTAATAGTGTTTGTTTTAATCTTGCTTTATGCTCATCTGCATTTGGAAGGCTTAATGAAATGTAAACGTAAAGGATAAAAGGGTATTAACACATTTACAGTTTAATAGGACATACCAATCATAATTTGACTAGCAAATCAGTTGTATTTTTAGATTTCTGAGTTCACCAAAGCTTTCGGATCCATACACTCGATTTATTTGAATGTGAGAAACATCTCAATAGCTTTTAGAGTTCTGGTTCAAAGACGTGTTCCTTATGGCTTCCCAACGACAGCAATCCATGAAAGATTTAAAAACACACAATAGTTTCCGTGTCTAGAAGGTCCCCAACACAGGTTCCACTTCGTGAAGGGTCTAAACGACGCCGGGCGCCCGCCCTCGGTTGGAACAAAGACAACGTGGCTTACAATGAGATGACCTCTGGAGGGAGGCGCAGGCGGCTCCTGCTCTGTCAACTGTCTCAAGTTCACAGCAGTTCAGTCGCTGGAGCCTTCGGCTGTCACGGGCCCCAACCTGCGGCTGAGCAGCTCCGTGCCCTCCAAGGGGCAGTTGAGCTTCGCCCCGGCCCCCTCTTCCAGGCCTGCACCCTCCATCGGGTGGGCGTCTGCTCATGGACAGCTGCTCTCCAATTTTTCACCCAACTTGCCATCCTCACCTTTGGTTTACGAAAGGCCCTGTAACAACTTTTGTTTTCTTGTGTAAAAGGAAAGCCTAATGAGGCACTTGAAACACCTACTCCTCTGCTCTCCCCTGCAGATCTACTAGACAGCCCTGCAATCCTCGTTCACTGCTCCACTATGTATAAAGGTCCTTGAAAGTAGAACTGCATACAGGGAGTCCCTGCCTTCACAATGGAGGCGGTGGCAAGGAGCCACACATAAGGTGGTTCTGACAAAAGTAGAATACCTCACCGTGCGCCGCCCCCCCCATCATTCCCGCCTTTTACGATCACTACAAGTCAATGTTAACACAGGCCATCTATGCACAAACATCTGAGAACAACATCAGAGCAAGTTACATGTTGCAAAACTGTATGGAGTATACATCACTAATGATAAAATGTAAAACCAAACCAAACAAACCCCCAAACGACCAGCCTAAGTGTACTAAGCTGGGGACTCCCTGTCCTGACAAGGATCCTTTTGGTGACAGAAGTACATACAATACCCATTTTGTGACTTATTAAACCATCAGAAGATCACAGAGGTCAACTGCGACTGTCAGTCTCTCAGGCGCAGGTACTTACACATCCGCCAGGACAATCCGTGTCCGGGTCACGTTCTCAATGGTGAATTTGGTTTTCCCTCCTTTGCCAGCGATCCGTCCGATTGCTCTCGAGAGGTGGTCTCCCTTTAACGGCTTAACTACACAAGGACAGCGACAGCTCAGTGCACTGCCCACCTCAGAGAAACAGAGCACCCACTGAATTTCCCTACTCAGTGAGACAAGCAGACATCCAACAGAAAAGAAGTTGCTAACAGTTCAGGTCATTGGATGCAATGAGGAAAAGAGCACGAGCCAACACAGAACAAAACAAAAGGGCAACATTTCCCAGGAAAAAGCCCCCCACACTCACCATCTGTAACTTCAAACGACTCCAGGAAGAGGTCGTCCAGCCTGATGAGGGCGAGGGCGTCCTACAACACAGAGAGCAGACGCTGGAAGGGGCAGGCCTGCTGGCCCTTTGGGACCTACCTGACAGAGCGTGAGGTGGAAGCACAGATAAACTCAAACCCACAAATCGCAGGGCGTATGGAGGCCAGCATTTTTGTAAGGGCCCAGATACTTGCCACGCCCGGGGAGTCACGCACCTCTACCTGAAACCCCAGAATGAAGGCTTTCACGAAGTCAGCGGCTTTTGTCAGGGCACTGACATCCTTGGTTTCTTTACAAGTCTGTTTTGGGGAGGAGAGGAGAGTCCGAGTTAGAGCTGAGGATGAAATCAGAGATTATTCCAACTAGATACAAGGAATGACCTCTACCCACTTCTGTAATTTCCTTCCCCAGAGCCTCCTCGAGGCAGTCACTGACCCACAGGACAGAGCAGAACTTCCCCTGTGCGTTTCCAAGGCGCGCAATCTTTACAGGAGTAGACAGCCTCGTCTTTCTCCCAGAGTGGCTGGTGCGTTTCAGCCACTGAAGTTGTGGTTAGCAGCCCAGCAAGATAAAGGGCATTATGAAAAAACATCAACAGGGGAAAACGAAGCGTTCCACATAAAATCAAACCAAAACCAAATTCACTGCCACGGACTTGAAGCCAATTCGTAGGGACACTACAGGACAGGGCAGAAGTGTCCAGGTGAGTTTCCGAGGCTGCACTTCCTTACAGGAGTACAAAGCCCCATCTCTTTCCTGAGGCGCAGTTAGTGGTTTCAAACGGTGGACCTTGCAATTACGGTTAACCACTAAACCACCAGAGCAGCCAGGCAAAAATACCAGATCCCAACAATGCACTGGAAGTTCTTGCCTGACCAGTTAGGCAAGAAGGAATTAAAGGCATCCAGATCAGGAAAGAAATAGAACGATCTCTATTTGCCAAAAACAAAGCCCTCTATCTAGAAAGTTCCAAAAAAATCTGCAAGAGAACTAGTAAGAGCTAATAAATGCATCCAGCCAAGTGACAGGGTACAAGGACAACATGCACAAATCAACTATGTGTCTATACAACAGCCATGAACAATCTGAACAGCAAACTAGGAAAATTCCATTTACAACAGCATCTAAAAGAAAATTCCCAAGAATACATTTAGCCAGGGAGCTGAAAAGCATATACAATGAAAGTCATAAAGCCCTGCAGAAGAAATAAAGACTAAATAAATGGAAAAACATCCTATGTTCATGGACAATATTGGTACACCAGTAGTACCCAACATGATCCACAGATCCAATGCCATCCCGATCATTATTCCAATAGTCGCTTTCTGCAAAAAGGGAAAAGTGATGGTCAAATTTATACAGAACCGGAACCCCAAACCAAGAAACCCACTGCCGTCGAGTCAATTCTGGCTCATTGTGACCCTCCGAAGTCCAACTGTCCTACGGGTTTCCAAGGCTGTAATCTTAACCGCCCCTTTCACTTTCCCCTGTGGACGGAGGGTAGTCACATGGCCTACCTTTCCACTAGCAGCTGAATTAGCTGCTTTAGGGAATTGCAAGGGCTCTAAATAGCAAAAACCTTCTTTCAAAAGGGCAAAATAGAAGGGTTTATTCACGTATCCCAATTCCAAAACACAGGACTCGCAACAGTATGATTCTGGTGATAAAGACCAACTGGGATAGAATTGCAAAATATAATTCAGGTTTTTCTCTTAATTATAAAACATAAATACAAATAGAATGGGGACAACTGCATTTCCACATGCCAAAAAAAAAAAAAAGCTGACTACAAATTTCATACCATATAAAAATATTTAATCAAAATGGACTATTGACCTAAATGTAAGAACTAAAACTCTTCGCATCTTAAAACCTCGGGAATATGTTTTGGAATCTTGAGTTTTCTCAATGGATTCTTGGACATGACATTCATACACAACCATGAGTAACAGGGGGACAAAGAAAAAGACAAACTGAGCATTGTAAAAATTTAAGCTTTTGTCTATGAAAGTTTAGTTCACCAACTAAGTGAAGGGGCTGTAAAATGGGAGAAAATACCGGAACGACATATCTGATTTATTATCTAGAACATGAACGGAAGTCCTGTAACAGCCTCCACGATACAAACAACTCAGTGAAGAATCTGGAGAAGGACAAGAATAGCTCTCTCTCTTTACAGACATGGGAATTGCTAACAAGGACAGGAAAAGAAATGCTCAGGACCATTAGTCATCAAAGGATGCAAATTAAAACCACAGAAGATGCCACTTCACACCCACATGCAATCGTTTCCAGGTGCTGTCCAGCGGCTCTTTTGAGTTGGCCCATGTCTAACAGAACAAAACCCTGCCCAGTGCTGCACCATCCCCACCCACAGTCATTTCTGTTTGAGCCAGTGTGGCAGCCATAAAGTCAGTCCACCTTGTTGAGGTTATTTCTTCATCACTCCCCTGTACTCAGCATAAGGAGCAGTACAGGAGTAGTGGTTATGAGTTGGGCTGCTAAATGCAAGATCAGCAGTCCAAAGCCCCCAGCTGCTCTAAGGGAGAAAGACAAAGCTTTCTATCACCCTAAAGGGTTACAATCCTGGGCCAGTTCTACCCTCTTCTTTATGGTTTAAAGCTTTCTTTAGAGTTAAACTAAAAGCCAAACACACTGCCATTGAGTTAGGGTTGATTCATAGCGCCCAGGTAGGACATAGTAGAACTGCCCCACCCTCGGGTTCTCAGACTGTAACTCTACAGGGATATTATTCAGTCATAAAGAGAAACAAAATCCTGATACATGCTCTGATATAGATTAACCTTGAGTATTATGCTGAGTGAAATAAAACAGATACAAAAAGACAGATAGATGTTCCCACTTCTCTGAAATTTCCATGACTTGCAAGGGTGTAGAATTCACTGCATTAGAGGTTACCAGGGGCTAGGGGAAGGATAAGAGGGGAGGTACTGCTGAAAGTGTACTAAATTCCTATTTGGGATGAAGAAAAAGTTTTGCAGACAACTAACACTTACACAATACAGTGAATGCAATTCATAATCCTTTGACTTGCACGCTTTATTAAAAGTGGTTTTCAAAGCAGTGTTTGTCATACATTTAGCTCGACAAAATTCGTTTACAAGAAAAAACAAAACGTAAATAACCCATAAACAAACTAGACCCTCATTCCAATACTGTGTCTTTGGATAAGTCACTTAGGTACTATATGAGCTTAAGTTTTCTCATCTGAAAAGTCAGGCCACAGTGGAAGAACCCGAGGAACCGCTCACAGACCCTTTGGGACCTACCTGACAGAGCGTGAGGCGGAAGCACAGATAAACCCAAACCCACAAATCGCAGGGCGTACAGAGGTCCGCATTTTAGTAAAGGCCCAGATAGGCAGAAGCGTTCCTGTGGAGTACTTGATGATTTTGGCCCAAATATACAAGTTCTTTGGCCATCCGTTTCCCCACATCTATAACAAGGATGGAGATGATCTATTTCATAAGGCTGCCTCAAAAAACAAATGATATAGTGTACGTCTAAGTACTGCCATGGGTCTGGAAGAGAAGGTCTGCAAGTGTCAACAAATCCATTGTTAGCTGGCAACAAGTTGGCCCTCAACTTATGGCAACCCCATGCACAATAGGATGGGACTGTTTTGATCCACAGGGTTTCCATGGACTGACTTTCAGAAGTACATTGCCAGGATTTCTACCTCCTCTGCTTAGAGTGGAAGTTCTGCTGAAACCTGTTTGATATCCAAGCAACACGCAAGCCTGCACTGACAACAAAACATGACTTCTCAAAGTACGAAAGAAGTCTTGCCACCTTCACTTCTAAGGAGCATTCTGAACGTACTCGAGGTGCACTGACCAGGAGTCCAACCCAGGTCTCCCCACGGAACTTGCGAAGTCAACCCGGAACCACCAAAGTCCTCTTCCACACATGTGAATGGAATCTCAATCAGTTCTGCTGCAAAACGTAACAGTTAAAAAAAAAGATTTAAAAAAAAAGTTACATTAAGCAAAATCAAAGAAAGGTGCTGAACAAAGGGTTGGCAAAGCCACCAATTATAAACGAGGAAGAACATGAACTAGACCCATGGCAGGAACAGAAGTAAAAGGGAAATAGGGTAGGGAGGACATGACCCTTTTTAGAGGAAAAAGCTCCCGGGAGTAAGGGGATAGATATATTCAAAGAGGTGATGAGAACTCGGGACCAGTGTCCATTACTTGAAAAGCAGGTACAGGTAAAGCCTGATTTTTTTGGTTTTTTAACCTAGACACAGAAGATAGCAACATATTGTAAAAGAAGTAGTGTGGTCAAGGTCCAATAAGCTGGAACTGGCATTGGGGGTGTAAGGGAAGGCTTCAAAGAGTTTGTAGAAAAGTAGAATGAAAAGAGAATGGAATTTCCCAGTGGACAGTTTGAAGTCCTCTCATACCTGAGGAAGGCGAGATTTAAGCAACAAGGGAAACTTGCAGAGAAACAAAAGATCTTTGTAAGAAATCATCAAAACCCGAATGACCGTGGCAACAAGTGCCAATTCAATAGTATGAACCTTACCAGCTATTTACAGCAAGGCCTGTAGGGAAATGAAACGAGTAGATTTGGAAATAGCTGACACTCTGCTTACCCTGATTTCCACATTCCTCGATTTCAAGTTAAAGCGTATCTGAAGTCCCAAGTGCTCTACAACAGGCGTGAATATCTTCATCCAGTTCTCTTTCAATGGGGTGTATCTGTTCGCTGGGACTGGGACTTTCCTTGTTTCTTCTTTTCCACCCTAAATGAAAAAGGACACACAACTTTAGGACGTGTCTCCAGAGGTGGTGACTTGTAGAACGACAGCTGATCCACCAAAATGTTCCTTCACTGAACGAGTTACACCTCGGGAGTCACTCTCCAGAAGGAGAGCTCACTCCAGAACAGCAGCGGCGGCTTCCACGTCACCCAGAAGCCACCAGATTGATCCCTTGCGGTCCCCTGCCCGGTGTCCCCTCCAGTACCAAGAGCCCATCCCCGGAGAGGGGCGGGAAGACGGGCCTCTTCGCGGGCCGGGCCTCCTCGGTGTCCATGCGGTCCCCGTCTTTGCTCTCCCCAGGCGCCGACAGCTGCTCGGCCTGCCGTTTCTTCGCCCGCCGGCCTCCCTTGCGGGTGACGTGAATGAAACCATCCGCGGCCCCGGTGCTCTGTGCCTCCATGTCGCCTTCCATCCCAAGGAGTCTCGGGCACTGCCGGTACTTCCGCCTCCAACACGTGGGCTGCCGCACTGCGCATGCGCACGGCTCACCGACCAGTCCCAGGGCTCCGCCCTCTTTCCTAAGCGGTCCTACGGCGGAGACCCGAAGCTGGCCCCTTCTAATACTTGGAGGCTGTCCGACAATATGCCTGATTTTTATGGCCGTCCTTTGGCTACGCAACTTACAGATTAAGCATTTTTCAGAACTCCAAAACGATATATGTGACAGAGTGTATAAAGACAATAAACGAGTCTGTGTTGTCTGTAGAGAAAACGTTTTATGACTCCAGTAGCTCATCTGGCATAATCTTAGATAACTAAATCCAACTTTCGGGGTCCGAGTACGGCAAGCGGGAGAGCCAATTGTCGTTAATGTTTGTGGTCTGGTTTCCAGGTTAGTTCTTGGTCGGCGTCCGGTGGTGGCAGTTGCCAGCTGTGGATTCTGCTGCACCATGTCGGCCTTCGAGAAACCTCAGATTATCTCCCATATCCAGAAGAGCCTTAACTACACGGTGTTTGACTGTAAATGGGTGCCATGCAGTGCCAAGTTTGTGGCCATGGGCAACTTCGCTCGGGGCACCGGCGTCATTCAACTGTATGAGATCCAGCACGGGGAACTGAAGCTGCTTAAGGAGGTGGGTATCTCCGTTCGAGACCCTCCAGAGCCGGAATCTGGGAACGTTACGGAGGCGAGTGCCGCTCACGGGCTCTACATTTTTCTTTCCCTAAGTCTGACTAGTTTCTTTCCAAAACACAGCTCGAGCTGTGCGGAACCAGCGAAGCTGTTCGCAGACTGAGGAATCCTTTGGATTGAAAACGCTTTGCGTGGAGTCCTGAATTCTTTGATGTGCTTGTTCATTCGCATCCCGCTGATGCCTTTCCCCAGCGCTAAATCTTTGGGAAACCAGGTTAAAACTTTTAGGCAGTTCGCAGTTGCTTGCTGAGAGTCCTGAATCTCTTTCTAGGACGGACCATGCTAATAAAATACCTTTTCTTACCAACAGAGCCAAAGCGGAGCCTACCCGCAGTGAACTTGCAGTGTAATTGGAAGAGAACCTTAATACATGTATTCATTCTTTCAACAAGTATCAGTTGAACACCTGGTATTCCCAAGCATGAACATAGCCAGGCCCCCACTCTCTAGTCATGGAAATCTTCAAATAATTAAACCAGCGATGCATGCATACAAACCGACAGGAGTTCTTTCACATGAAGGAACAGGGTTTATGAGAGTACAAACAGATTTGAGAGGAGTAGAAGGAGAGTGGTTAGTAAGCACTCACCTGCTAACCAGAAGGTGGGTGGTTTGAATCCA